AAGCGGCCAAAACCGAATCTAAAGCGGAGGAGGTGCCGGCACCATTCTGGGCGGTGGAGGCAGAGGGTGGCGAAGCAGAAGCAGACGGCGTCCGAGACGCACGGCCATGTTGGCCCCACGAGAACCTCCTAAGCTCAGCTATAAGCTCTTGAGAAAACTGACGTAACCGATTGGAAGAACTACGCCTAATCGTGGGCGATCTCGATGATGCTGGTGGCGTCTCCGTCTCACTCCCGATGGAGACTTCCAAATCGATATCAATGACGGTAGCCGGTTCGACGCTTCGGAGAATGATGGTATCGTCATCTTGGAGATCAAGCGTCACCTGGAGGAACTCCGCTGAGTCATAATCCGTCCGGGGAGATGATCCTCCACTGGTTGTTTCCTCGGAAGTCGTATCTGACGCCCATGGGCGGTCACGGTGAGACAGACCCCTCATTGCGGGAAAACGAAAGCTAATAACGAGAATGGATTCACAGTCACTGACACTGTTTTTTTATATCAGAAGCTCCACCAGTCATTGCAAGAGGGAAAAGATGAACGTATTTTTACTCTTAACTGAAATTATTTTTGAAAAGTTAATTTTTTTCTTAAATTTTTTAAAAGTATTACTTTTATTGATATATAACCCCTTTAGAGACTGTAACCGTGAAAGATTTACGAATTACGGTAGGAGTAGGAATTTGAAGCAATAAGTGGTTGAGATCAACTCAACTACGTTCCACGAAGTAGAAGTTGGAGCTGTAGACTTGTATTTGGATTTTGGATTTCGGATTTCGTTCTTTCTCACTCTCATACGTCTTGATTTGACTTTTCAAAAATGATGCTTGCGTGTCATAGTCCGAAAGGGCAAAATATCATGACCTAATATTTCATTTCCTTTTGGGGATTGTTTGGGTGGAAGCACATACGATTACGACTTACAAGGAAGGTTGGAATTTGGGAATTGGGATGAGGATTCTAGCCATATGGGTCGGGTCAAATCCATTTCCAATTGTTGTTTTGGAAGTCCGAACTGTAGATCTATTATCAGTACTGGTTCGGATCCGAGCAACGCCGGAAATAAGAATGCCGATACTTGCATTGCCTTGCCTTGGCCAGCTTCACGTCCAGACCACCACGCAAAATTCTAATTCCATTTATTTTCTTCTACATATATACTTGCAAAACGGGTTCAACCCATGATATCACCCATATTCAAGTTTGTGTATTTTTACCGAACAAGATTAGACCTGTTCATGGGCCGGGCCGGGCCGGGCTCGGGTCGGGCTTTCACACTATATTAACAGAATTTTTTAAGGCCCGAGCTCGGCCCGACCATCGGGCCTACAATTTGGGCCCGAGCCCGGCTTGAATAAAAAGCCTGAAGCCTGGGCCTGGGCCCAAGCCCGAAATTTAGCCCATACTGTTAGCGGCTGAATAGGGAGAGAGAGAGAGATTATAAAGAAAAGAATAATATATATATATATATATATATTAAATTATAAATATATATTTTAATAAATATTATATTATTTATATATTTTATATAATATATAAAATACATATTATATATTTTATAAAATATATAATGCTGAATCAGGTCGGGCCGAGCTCGGGCCAGGTTTTTTTGTCAAATCCCAAGCCCGGCCCGAAACACAGTCAAGCTTACTGTGTTAGGTCCGAGGTCAAGCCCATAGGCCTAATTACATGACCAAGCCCGACCGGGGTGCAGGTTGGGTCGGACCATCGGGCTACCCAACCCATGAACAGGTCTAAACAAGATTTTGGTCTGTGTTGACTGGATCGTTTATATGATTTTATCCCATATTCCCATTCACTGGTTGCCTTATTCATGAGGTGTTTCCTTTTTTTGTTTTTATTTTCCTAATAATCCTAATCAAATATAAGTAGCCAATAACTAGTGGGGCCCGCCGATATTCGGTCTAGAGTCTAGTCAATTACTCCATCCTAATTGTTATAGCTTAATTTTTTCCATTCCTTGCAAATTAATCAAGCTGACCCAATTTTTCTTGAACATTACCCTAAACTTTGGGGTTGTGTTAATTAGTCTCTCGACTTTAAAATATGTCATTGCAGTATTCTGAACTTTTAAATTTTGTCTAATAGGTTGCTATCGTTAGTCAATATCGTCATGTGACATCAAATGCGTATTAAATAATTTCAAAATAACAAAATTACCCTTTATGATATTTTTTTACCATTTTACCTATTTCGTTTGAGTGTTAGAAGAAGGAAAGGAGAAAAAGGGTTATGAAAACGAACACCAATCAACTATTGAAGCGCCCACTCCCCTGTTCAAGCTCTCCCATTCAGTGATTAACTGCAACTAGATGATCACATGTCTAGTTTCATAACCCTTCTTCCCCTTTTCCTTCTTTTAGCACTCGGACAAAATGGGTAAAATGGTCAAAAATATCATAAAGGGTAGTTTTGTCATTTGAAATTATTTAATGCGCACTTGATGTTAAGTGACAATATTGATTGACGGTCAACTAACGATAGGGACCTATTAGACACAATTTGAAAGTTCAGGGCACTGCAATGGCATATTTTGAAGTTTGGTGACTAACTTGACACAAGCCCCAAATTTCAGAGTACTGTTTAGGAATTTTCCCTTATAGATATATGGGTGCGGCAATCGGGTGAATGTGGATATGGGTTGGATCCACCTTCAACTAATTGCCCACCCTTGGCATAATCTACCCACACTAGGTCTAACTCAACCCATATCATTGCTACTTTAAAAAAATCAACATAATTATATAATAGAAAGAGGAAAGAGAGGAGGTGAGGAGTCCGATTACCATAGAGCTCACACGTGCCTCCTCTTACTCTTATTTCTCGCACTTGTGCATATTTATTTTCAAATGATTTAAATGAAATCATTAAAAATATAACAAGGCAATATTAAAACCTTGATGGGTTAAAGGGCAACCTAAATATGAACCCTACCTTTGACCCAAACTAATATCAAAACCCAAATTTGCTCATCAATACATAGGGCAAACTAATTTTCTTCTTATATATAAGTTTAAAGAAACCATTTTATGCTTTCCATGGCTTGTTAGGTTTTCTTTATTCTTTATTGATTTAATGTAGATATGTTCCATGGATTCTTTTGGTTCAATAATAAAAATCACTTAATACGAGCCTTTGGTTATCCTCATCGATTCAATTTTGATTTTTTTTTAAATTGGTAATTAATCTCATATTAAGCACATTTATTAGTTATATAAAAATGAATGAATTTGAAGCTCAATAACTAAGAAGGAAAATAAGGGTCCGATTGGTTCGTAGTCGGAATAGGAATTGGAATCGAAATCGGAATCAAAATCCTCCAGAATCGGAATCAGAATGGTCCATTCCCATAGTTTGTCTGGTTCAAACATCTATGGAAAAAGGAATTAAAATCAGCAGGAATAGGATTTCATTCTCAAGGGAGGGGTAGGGAATGGCCATTCCGATTCCGATTCCAAATCCTTATTCCTACAAACCAAATGGACTCTAAAATTATTTTTTTTTACTATTTTATATATAAAGAACTAGAAATATATAAACTCAAAAAGAAAAGAAACTATAAATATATAAAACTTTGATGAATCAATGCTATTTCATCAAAGGACAATAATTTGTTTTTAAATAGGATTTGATCCTTTCTAGACCGCGCTCACTTCGTTTGTATTGTCCCTTGTAGTAGGAATATATTTCCATTAAAAAAAGTTTATAAGTAGGAGATATTTCTAATGTATGGCTGTAAAAAATTGTGAGAATGGTATAAACACAGTTTAATCCGATTTCCTACAAGTTCAAATCAGCCTCCACCCCAACATCCCATAGTATATCTCCCCATATATTGGAAACATCTTCTAATGATGATATCATCATTTTTTATATTATCATCTAAAGATGTTCCCGATACACTCGGAGATGTATTGTGCGATGTTGTGGGGGGCTGATTCGGTCTCATTTCCTACGTTTTATTAGTGCTTTTTATGATTTTAGGGTTGTAAAAGATGAAAGCAATAAATAACCATTTGGTGAAGAAACTCAACAAGCTTTTTGCATGAATAAAAGCCTGCTTGGAAAAGTTGAAAAAACGAAGGCAGCCTTGATCTTTCACGTTTGTAATAGGTTATTTTGAACAAAAAAATAATGATAAAAACAAACAATAAAAAATGTACTTTCTCAAAAAGCACATTTCTAGGGCGAAAAAGACACTCCCAAACATGGCCTTCGTCCGTAGCCACACCCGTCCACTATACAACACACCACCCAAGTGACGATAATGGGCACCTACTGACTACCCATCACCTCAATCCATACCTACCCACTTAAACCTTAAACCTGACCCGATGTTTTTTAGGTACAAAAAGGCCCGATGCTTTTTCAATGGAGTAAAATAACAATCCAAGCTAGGGTGATCATTTCAGCCTGGTCTACACAAGCTTGTCATGGGTCTGGGCTCATATTAGGCCTTTAAATTTTAGAGCCAGGCTTAGACTTAATATTTTAAGCCCGGCCTGTATATATTTAAATTTACACATTTTATGTATAATATATATATATATGTATATATGTTATTTTATATTAAATTATATATTTTATATAAATATTATAACATAATATATATAATTTATATTATATATAATATTATGTCATTTAATATAAAGTATTATAGATATATAATGTTTTATATATAGAAGACATTAGCCCAAAATCATGCTCGACCCAGTCCAGATCCGTATAAACCTAGATTAGAGCTTATGTTTCAGGCCCGAAACTCTAGACCGGGTCGGGGCCGGGCCTAAACTATAACCCTTATCACAAGTGCAATGCCCGGCCCGACCCATGATCACCCCTAATACAATCCCTTCTGGGATGGCTGGATTGTGAAACGTAGGACACGTCTGAATACAGGTAGCTTCTGTCAACCGTCGGTTTGGAATAAGAGGAACCAATCTGAATATTATTCCAGTTGGGTTGTAGCTGTTTTTCTTCTTTTGAAGCGTGGATGAACAAAAAACAAAATTTGAAGAACGGGAACCCTTTGCTCTCGCTCTCTCTGTTTTGGTTGTCTCCGTTCTTTTACTTATCAGTTGGTTGTGCTTAGGGTGTCAATAAAATCGTTTCAACCGAACGATGAACGGGATGAAGCGCCTAGGTCAATCAGATTCCAACCTCGACACCAAGGATTCTGCTGTAAGTTCTTTCTTCAATTCCCGCTCCATGCAAACCCTAATTTATTTTTTCTTTCTCAGTTTGCTCCTGTTTTATTTGATTCTTGTATTTTCAACTTCAGTTGTAAGTGGAAGTATAAGGCTTGAGATTTTCAGTACTGCTGAAATCCTAGAGTTCAATGCTTCCGATTGAAACTGGTAATGTGGATTTGGAATGCTTGTGCTCTTCAGATGCTACTTAGGCTGCTTTTGGTTCGATGCAGAATATTTGGAGAACTTCATTTTCTCTGTAAAAGATGTGGAAATATAGTTGAGGTTTTTTTACTGAAAAAATTTCCACTATTTCCAACAAACGGAAACATTGAAGTTTTAAAATGAATCTTTCCTTTTCCTACTTACTTCCTTGTCTTCCCAGACCTCGTGTTTGTAGTTCTAATCAAGTCATCAGAAATTTAATTGTATATTTTAAGCTATGAAGCTTATGGAATTTAAAATCGCTAGCTACTTGACTACTTATGTTGTGGGTGCTTTTTCTTCTTATGTGTGATTCTCAATGGCATTCCTTGATCTGTTGGTCTGAGCGAATGCTGGTGTTTTAATTTTGGAGATTTTCATTTAATATTAAATATTTATTTATTTTTTCTGATTGTAATTCCATGTTATTTCTGAATCCATATTTGAAGACCCTTCCTTTTCATTATGTTGCAGTTTAGGAGTAAGAGAATAATGGTCGCATCCACTTTCGATAATAACAAGGCAGAATCATCTAACCAGCATTTGATGAAAGAACCCCCTTTTGATGTACAGCGGGCTGAATCATCCCGCCAACACGTCAGAGCACTCAATACCCAATTTGCTAGGTCCTCTCTCTCTCTCTCTCTCACACACACACACACAGCAGTCTCTTTCATCAGACAGGATGTGTAACTTAAATTCAGGACACTCTTTTTCATTAATATATCTTTTTTTGTTCTTTTTGAGGGCATCCATTACTCAATATCTCATCTCCATGAATTCATTCAAACTCTGATAAAGTGAAAGTTTTCAAAACCCAAAGATCTAGATCTACGTAATATCTCTCCTGGATAACATTACTTTTTCCTTGTCAGTACCTTAATAATTCCTAAATTGATAGAGAAAAATTTTACTTGTCAAATTCTTATTCTTCACTTATTCTAACTTTACTTTTTTCTTTATGACAATATGGAAAAGATTGAGTGGTTGTGGGCCACATGCACTCTGATATGTAAGGAAGAGTAAGAGTTTGATAGCATGCAATTGAAAAAACAAATCAATAATATAACAATATTATTTCCAAACATACACACATAGAGCACAGTATGGCATGTAAACAGTCATAAAAATTCTTACCCCTGTTTGTTATTTAAAATGAGAATGGGTTAGCTGAACTTGATAGCTGTTTTACTGGCCGTGGGACCAATCCTTTTGCTCCACGCGGAACATGTCAACCATAAAGTGCATGTGGTCCATAAACACTCAATCTCTCACTTGCATTTATGTCTGGCATGGAGCAAAATGATTGTCCCCACATCTAGTAAAACAGCTATCAAATTCAGAAATTCAGCTAATCCGTTCTCGCTTTTAAGTATATAACAGGAGAAGAATGTTTATGACTGTTTTATTTTTTGATAATTGAAAATGATTTCATTAAACAAGAGGAATAAGATTTTACAGGAATCCCTTGGAGAGGCACGAGATGCAACCTCCCCTAACCGTTACAAGAGATCAGAAATAAAATTACAATGTTGCCCAGAATAAATGGTCCCTAATAGACCCCTGTTTAGCAAGATGATCAGCCAAATCCCTACCCACCCACTGATATCTACATGTTATGTGCCTTGTTAAACGTTTAACTTTTTTGATGAGATCCCTATAGCTCCAAACAACTGAGTCTGGATTTGACAGCCAGCCCACAATCACCTTAGAATCCCCTTCAGTCAATAGGTTCTCCACTTCTAGTTGATTAGCAATCTGAATTCCCTGTACTGCAGCCAATATCTCAGCTCTTGTAGAGTCCTCTATCTCTATCGGGCCTGAGAATAAGGATATGATGTTGCCATTTTCATTCCTCAATACTCCTCCAGTGCTAGACGGTCCTGGGTTACCCTAGCTGCTTTCATCAAAATTCAGTTTAAAAAAACCTTCTGGGGTAGTTACCCAAACTGTCGTGATTCTGGTTTTTCTAACCAAAGTGTGTGCAACTGTGGCCCAATTCCTCCATATGTCATCAAATGGAAAAGAGCTTAAAGAAGCCAAGGATTTCAACCAATGGATAGTCCTGGTTAAGATACATTCCTTCACTTCTGCAAAGGACCTTTCTTTATCTTGGAAAATTCTAGTATTTCTTTCTTCCCAAATTGTCCATAAGGTGTCTGCTCTGAAACATCTCCACATACTCTTCCCTCTTTTCGTTAGGCAAGCGAAGGTAGTTGGTGAGAATAATGATTTTACCTCTATTGGTTGATTCCACCTACATCCAAACAAAACAAACATCTAAGCAAAGTATGTTTATGACTGTTTACGTGCCATGCTTTGCTCTGTGTGTGTGTATGATTGGAAATAATAATATTATTTGATTGATTTTTTTTTCAATTGATGTATGCTAAATGGCTCATCAAACTCTTACTCTTCCTTACATATCAGGCATGAATGAGGTTCTCCTTTGGTACAGAGTTTTAGCTTTTTGGTCCTATATTTACAAACTTTATTGCGTCAATGTTTTCTCCTCTTTTTTCTTTTCTCTTTAAGATTGATCTCTTCTGTTATGTGTCAGCAGTTGGGTGCAATTGCAGATGCAAAATCATCCAGATGAGCTTTGGGAAGATGGTGTGCAAGATTACTTAACTTATGCTTCAGAAATTATGGTAGATTCTCATTCATGCCTCACAAGTCGTTTTGTTTATTACTTGTGTATTGTAGCTATCAATATTTTTAAATTAAGTGCCTTCACTTCTGTTAGAATCTATTATTACGTTGAATCAAGTAACATGTAAAAAAAGTCTGATGTTATATTTTATGAAGAAAGTTTTGAACTGTTTACTCCACGTGTTTTCTGAAAAGTTCTAAACTAGCAAGGACATTTACATGATGTTGCCTAGGCACTTGGGCATCATTTCGACGACAACTATAATTTGAAGCTAAGAATTTTATGTAACATCACAATTTAAATCCACATGTTAAGTTTTATGTCACCCTATGACCTGTGTTCTTGAATTTCTTTTGATCTGTGATGGACCCAATGGTTAATCTTAGAGACCTTCTGCAACTAAAACCCGCTGGAGAGGAGTGGTTTAGGATCCAATGAGTCAAATCTTGATTTTCTGAATTTTTATGTATTTGTTGATAGTAGGAACATTGCTGATTTAGTAGCTATTTCTGATTTTTGGGTCATTTGTAGTTTTCCTGTTTGCCTCAGGAGTTGGTTTTTGTGATTATAATATGAGTTTGTTTTCATAGTTAGTTTAGGGGTTCTGTTAAGAAGTTAAGTTTACGCAGGTCGGAGTTAGTTATAAAGTAGGATTTGTCTTCTTCATAGTCCTAAGTCTACTTGGATAAGTCCAACTCACACTCCTTAGCAGGCTAGGATTTATCCTTTTATTGTTAGATTGTTAATAGTATTTCGTAGTTGGTTTTGAGGTGGGAAAACAAGGGAAAAGGGCTATCTTACCTTCTTGCCTTTTTGCCTATAAATATGTGTAAGGCCTTCTCTATCTGACAAAAAAAAGTTTGAGCTTTAGGTCAGCTAATGGGCTAGCAGTTGGGTTGGCAAAACATGGGGTAACAAGAAACTCATTGTATTGAGGAGTGGTTAGACAAGGAAGCGATTGTAATTGAATTGGAAAGCTTTGGGATGGTTTGCTGAGGCTGACTGTCGTACCAGTCTGATGTACATTATCTTTTTATTTTAATCAATAAAATCTTTTTACTATTACTGATCAAAAAAAGATTGAGATTTTGCTTCTTTTGTTGAAGTAATTTTAGCTTTTTTGATGATGCTTATAACTGCAAGAAGTCATTCGGTGTTTGATTCCTAATAATTCCAATAATTTCTCTAGATGCTGATTCGTAGAGAAGCTTAGGTTCTTATAAATATATATATATATATATATATATATATATATATATATATATATATATATTCGTTTATTACTTTACAGGCCTAATCTAATGTATCCTACTTCAAGAAGTAATGGAAAAGTTCCTTCAAGGGTCCACCGTTATGAAAGAACCCAATCCCTTATCCAATGGTACAACCTTTCTAGCAAGTTGAAAACAATAACATGTTTCTGAATCTTTATTTCCAACAAATCTTTCCAGGAAGATGATAATTACCGATCTGTTTTTTGGCTTCTCAGTTCTTTAAAAGTATAAATTCAGCATTAGGCCTTTGATGGGACAAGCATTTTTCGATCATTAATTGTCTTTTTGAGGAGGAAAAATATTATTAGCAGCTATAAGTTTTTATCTTGTAGTGTCACTGCAGAGCTCTGGGCTTGGCTTCTATCTTTGTTTGGGTCTAGTTGGGATATGCCAACAGAAGTAAGCACAATCTTTAACCCTTCTTTCTTCTCTTGGCCCCATAAAAGAGGAAGGAAAATGTGGAGATGCTCACGAGCAGCATGGACAGTATGGGAAGAAAGGAATGCCARAATCTTCCAAGAAAAAGGAAGAAGCAGTCAAACCTTAAAGGACTGCATTTTGTCCAGGTCTTTACATTGGTTAAAGACTCTAGAATTATTTAACCATTTTACTTTTGCTGATTGTTGGAAGGATTGGAAGTTGGTAGCAAGCTGTTCCTCCTACAAGGAAAGGGCAGTGACTAGCTGGGTCCCCCCTCCTCTTGGTTCTTTGAAGCTGAATTTTGATGGGAGTAGCCAGGGTAACCCGGGTCCCTCTGGGATGGGAGGCGTACTGAGGAATGAGGCTGGAGAGGTTGTCTTAATCTACTCTGGCCCTTTAGGGGTTGAGAACTCTATTCGGGCAGAACTGCTAGCTGCAATACAAGGAATACTTCTTGCAAAAGAAGTGGGCGTGGAGTAGCTTCTGATTGAAGGAGACTCTAAGACAGTGGTGGACTGGTTAAATAATCTGGAGGATGTCTCTTGGGGCTACAAAAATGAGTTAAAGTAATTCAAATGGCTGACAAGAAATATGTCTATAACATTACAATGGGTTGGGAGATCAGCTAATGCTTTTGCTGATGTCTTGGCAAAACAAGGGATAAATAGGGAAACATTGTTCTGTGCACAATTGTAACTATTGTTTTAATTTCAACATTCATGTTTTCTCTGTTGTAGTTTGTGTATTTGCTGTTTGGAGAGTTTGCTCCTCGTGCCTCTAAGGGGATCTTCTTGATTCATTATTTTAATGGAATTAATGTTATTTATCAAAAAATATATTATTAGCATCATATTAATCTTCTCAACATTTAATTCCTTTCCCTATTCTGATCTCAAACCTAATACCTTTGACTGGCAATCGGCAACAGCTATAAGTTCTTAGCTACTTGGATCTGGCATCTTGAGGATGGAAATACAATGCATTGGATAAACTAGAAATATGGTACATTTTGAAGATTGTTAAGATAATTATAAGCAATTGCTATTCTTTCATCAAATGGAAGATATGATTGTTGTTCCGTGTAAGTAAAGATATGTTTCTATTTTGTGAGCATAACTTTTTTTCAACCATTTTTATTAGTGGTGCCAAAAGCTCTAAAAGTTGGGGTAAGCCTCAATTAGAAGACCTAAGTGGTCATTGAGGATTCTCCAAGAAAACCAAAGCAGCAAAATAACTTCCAAAAGCTTCAACTAATTGTGGAGCAGCACCAGTTATAGACATTCATTTGCTTGCAGTATTAAAATAAAACTAATGCATTAGAATGCACTTTCGCAAAGGGGTCTTATTATTTTATTATCTACTAAACCTTATCATTCTAGGTGTAGCCTTTATTCAGAATTGAAACTAATTATAAATTATTAATTTTATAAATGAAGGAGAAGTAATTTAGAAAATTTATTTTTATCAGTGTCTTGAGTATTGGTGGAGTATTTAGGAAGAATTATTGGTGAAAGTGTGCCATATTCTTAGGTCTTATTGGTCAAGGGAACTTAACAAATGCGGAGTAGCAATTCTCAGAGGATTAAGGCTAGGGAAACAACTGAACTACAAATACATAGTGGTGGTAGGGGATCCTAGAATATTATTGGTTATTTGATTGGCTATGAAATAATAGTCTTTGGCTAAGGAATTAAAGGAAACTTTTCACATGGGTTCAAAATCAACAATAGTTTGGCTCATGCATGAACAAAACAAGGTGTGTTCACCAGCTGGGTTGGGTTGCTATTAATCAGGATTTTAATTGTATGTAAGTCAAAATGTTGAAATCTTGAGGGTGCCAACTGTCTTGGTAAGGTCTCTAGCTGTTTGTAGCTGGGACTTGGGATCAAATTCCACCTTCACCAGGGATTTGGTGGGGGGGGGGGGGCATGGGGAGCCCCTGTTGTGTAGTCCTAGCAAAAAAAAAAAAAGTGTTGAAATCTTTGGATTTGGGGTTAGACAGCAAGGGCTAGTCTAAGTGTAATCAGGGGGCAGGGTTGCATGGCACATTGTCTTTCTCTGTACTACATAATTCTTTAGTTATTTTAATAAAATCTGAGAAGTTACCAATAAAAAAGACCTAGCAAAAAAATGTGTTGAAATCTTTGGATTTGGGGTTAGACAGCAAGGGCTAGTCTAAGTGTAACCAGGGGGCAGGGTTGCATGGCACATTGTCTTTCTCTGTACTACATAATTCTTTAGTTATTTTAATAAAATCTGAGAAGTTACCAACAAAAAAGATTTTATCAATGTGGTATGTTTTTCTCTTGGGAATGGGAAACTTTATCAGAAAGGGAAGGGGGAAATACAACATATGCGCCATGGATTACTAAATGGAAGCTTTGTTAATTGTTCATTCTCTATGAAGCTTTTATTGTAATACTTTTCCTTCTTGAAGTTGCAGCATCAATTTTCTGGGTATATTACTTTTTTGTAATTTCCATTTGTGTTATTTTTATATATAAGTTCTTCTTTTACCCTCCCATCATAGGAGAAATTCCGTGATGTTGTTGATTGGCTCAAGGCAATTACTGGAAAAGCAGAAAATGTGTCTGTATCAAGTTCACAAACTGCTGGGAAAAAGTTGATACCTGAAGCTAAGAACAATGAAATAAAATTGTTTCACGAGAAAAGTGGGTTTGGTGCAGTAGGCACAACTTCAAGCTTTACAAGTCCATGGAGCTCTGGTCCATTATTGAATAATCAAGCTCCGTTGTTGTTTGGTAGGTATTAATTCTTGATCTCAGCTGTAAGTTGTCTGTAAAAGTCAGAAGTATCTGATTAAGCAGTCTCAAATTGCCTATTTTTCTATCATGGTTAATTAACCAAATCCAAGCAAGTAGAAGAAATAATATTTAAATAGAAAATTGAAAAACAGAAAATGGATCAATGATGCAATTGGTTTGAAGAATTGCAGGACATGCATATACATGTCTAGTACTTGAGTTCAAGGGAAAATTGATATGAGTTGATTTTGGCCTGTTGATACTGAAAGTTCATTTTTGCATGTATGTTTCAGGAAGTCAAAGTTCTGGACTCTTAAACCAAGAAGCAGCAGATGATGTGGATGGTGGTGAGACATGCAAACTGATGTTTTTGTTCCTTCAATTGAATTTCTTGAAAACTGCTTTTCTTTTGAAGCATAATTCTGTTGTTTGCTCTATTTGTTTATATTTTGTAATCAATCTATTATTCTTATTCAATCCTGTGAAATATTAAATTCTTATTATATAACATGGTATGCTTCATTTTTGCATAGACAAGTAAGTCAATAATTCATACAGTTTGTTGGTCTCAATTTCATTCTTTCGAGGCATGTAAAGGGTGTATATGTGATGCAAACATGAAAGAGAAAGAAACCATGAAAAGAAGAAAATGAGTTTCTACAGATTCTTGCAGTAATGGCAAATTCATATAGTTTTTTTGGGAATTTTAGCTGTTTAAGTTCATTTCAGTTTGCTGGTGTTTCAAATAGGGTTAATGTTATGGGCCCGGGAATAGGATCTCGTCACGGGTCGGTCCACGAGGAAAATCCTCTGTTTTCCCTTGTTCCTCCCTACTCTTGATGGACCTATCTAGGCGCCCTAATGGTGATTTGTTCAAGAGATCACCTAACTCTCCTTTACTCTCTTTCTTGACTGAATATTCGATATCCTCATTCAATAATGGTGTTTCCTTAAATAGGAGATTACAAGAGTCCTAATCTTARGGAGTCTCCTTGCTGAATAGGGAGACTTCCAATWCTATCTTGCTAAGGAYAAGATAAGCTAATCCTAATCTGATAATAAGATAAACTAATCCTAATCTGATAACTTACTAACAAGATAAGGTAAGAGCAATAGAATAAGATAAGAACAAGCAAGATGATCTAATCTAATCTGGCGGTGGGTCAGGTTCCTGTTGCTGCCGGCGGCGATGGTACGTCTTTCCGAGGAATGCGTCCATAACAGTTAATCACCTTAAAGGGTCAAATTATTCTGCGGGTGTATTGTAGAGTTTTAAAAAATTTTAAAAGGTTGAAGTTATAAATTTATCACTTCCAAGTTTTAGAGGCAAAATTTGCATGTTTAACTAGGTTTTGGTGTCATTAGGTAGGCTTTTTAGCTATCTGCCCAACAAGACTAGGATTTCATGATATGAATGGGGGGAGTTATGGTCATTTTGTTGACATCGTATCAATCTGTGATGGGATTTGAGTATTTGTATTTTTTAGGGTTGCTTTTAGAGTTTAGTAGGGTTAGTTGTATGTTGGGAGTAGTTTTTGGTGCTAGAGTTTATATTTGAGTGACCCTATGGTATATGTTAGTCTTAGTTTTAAAGCAATTAGCCATGTGGCATGTGCATTGTCCAGGCAATCTGCCAGGGATGAGATAGAGAGTTGGATTAGATGTATATAGTTTTAATGGGTGAAGATAGTGAGGAGAGAGCAGGAAACACAAAAGAAGATAAGCTTTAAGTATTTTATGTGGAAAGAAGTTTGGGAATTGATGAATGGGGAGAGTAGAGCTCTCTCTTTTATATAAGGTGATGAATTAAAAGTTGTTTCTAGCCAGTTTCCTAGTTTAAATTTTAAAATTTGAAATTGAGTCTGTAAAAGGAGATCTGATCCCCTATATTGAGTTTATAAATTGAGTCAACTATTATTGAAATTTTAGAATGGAAATGATGGAACACAACTTTGTTTTGAAGTGAACTATAATCTCTCTCTCTCTCTCTCTCTCTCTCTCTTTATTTCTCTCTACACAATTATCAAAAAAAAATCAAACATATAGCAAGGGATCTGGTTGATACCTTTCTTTGGGTCCAAATATCAACAAAAAGCATGGATGCTTTATTAGCAAAACAAGGAGAACAACTGATCTGGGGACTGGGGATTTCTTGGTATCGTATAAAAACAGGGCCAAAGTTCTTTGTATATAGGCATTTTCTTTATTATCAATGAAGTTTTAGACATATACCATAAAAAAGGTTTCAGGTGTTTTGCCCCTATGTATCTGGCTAGAAACTCATCATTTAAGTTGTTTTGGTGGACTTGCACAGATTTCTAAAAACTAGGATGGTTTAATAAGGTGAATTTACAGTTTTGTTAGGTAATGAAAATATTTGTGGTTGCCAGATGATGTGGAGCAGCCTAGTAGTCCATCTGTGAAGAAGACTGAAGAGAAGGGTATCAGTGTAGTGCATGAAGTCAAATGCAAGTTATATGTAAAGGTACTTGCCTTTCGTAACCTCTATGAATTTACATTTTAGTTGTGGCACATTTATATAAGAATTTTCCTTAAATTTATGGCCATGCAGAATGGTCACACTTACTTTCTTAACTTTACCCAGATGTCTAAACAAAGGTTGCGAGTATTTTTTGCTTTTTGATTTTGCTTGGTATAGAGTTGCTAATCTATCTGCTTGTCCAAATTTGAGTTTGAATCCAATCTGATCCGGTCAATTCCGTCCAGATTTGATCCATTTTAATTTGATAGTGGATCCACCCCAATCTGATCCCATATGATTCAATCAGTTAATATTCAAGTATGTATGTATATATGCTTGTATCTACACAAAATTAGTATGTATCTATTAGCAAAGTTGGTTTAATTGTTGTATGTTTACGAAAGAGTCATCTATTTAAGTCTTATACAAATTATTTTCACATTATTTTGTTCATGATGTGCAATATCAAATCCATTTTAGTTCATTTTATTAATAATAAAAAGAATATTTTGATTGTTTTAAGTTTAATTTATTGTTAATAACCAAATCTGAATCAAAATGAATCTGATGGATGGGATTTGTTTTGAATCCAATCAGTAACAGTGTAAATTTGGATCTAGTTACAATTCAATCCAATCTATTACCAATAAAAGAAAGATAAACAATTGGTCCTATCTGTTTGCATTCCTAGCTTGTGGACCAAATTTATTGGATTGGAACAGAAATCACGTTTATCCCAACTTGAATATGTTGACTAGAGATGTTTTTATGTTTCTGTGGTAAAACAATGAACATTATAAATTGAACCATCATTTTTACTATACTAATCATTTTAGACTGTATTTCAATAGCCCACCTGATTTTTTTGGAATTTAAATGACTTCCCCTAATCCACAAACATATATGGAATTGGCTGGCTTAAGAATGCTGCTACATAAATATTAATTATGAAACTTGTGGAATTGGGTTCCATCCAATTCCAACCCAATTCCATTTCTGGTCCTAATTTCCATCAACCCAGGCACAATATTATGGAAATTGAAGTAGGCTTGGCATAAAATAGGTTTATGTGACAGAAATATAGGTTTGCATATCAAATTTTATGATGAAAGCATTACTTAAAGGCATGCCCAGACATAACCACTTGGAATGGCTTTCCTATATGAACTTGTCATTACTTGTGAGGTCATCCAGACATCAGGTAATGGATATGCATTTGCATCCAGGTGACCAGATTTTGAAATGGAGTCCGGATGTCAACCTAATTGTTTGTGCATGAATTTTGTGAAGAACCAAAGCTTTGCTTTGTCCTAAATCATGTTATACCTTAACAGTTATTTTAATTAAACTTTAGAACTTAAATGGAAATTACTATACCAAAACAACAATGAAAAAGTAAAAAAAAATTAATAACTTCCTTTATTCCTTTTTTTTTTGATAAATGCTTTCTTATTCCTTTTTTGCAATATATTTATTTCTAATTTAAAATTTATTTTGTTTTCTTCCTCTTTAAAATGGATGTTTCTTGTGAATAGATATAATTAAGGTGAATAACTTTGTAAATAATTATTGTTCTTTTATGGACATTGCTTGGTGTGATGGTATAAATCTTTGGAATGCTGATTCTAGTCTGAGAGTGGCTGCTTTATGAAAGAAAGGCTAATAGTTTGGTCCAGTTCAAGGCTCATGGATACCTCTTGTTCATGGTTTAGAATCCTTAGGTCCTTTCAAGGAATGCCTTATAGCTCTTTTTTTATAGAGATTCTGTTTTTGTAAACAGAATGCATACAAATGCACAACTCTCTGTTCTGTTTGTGCATTCCCATTGTACAGTCCCTTTATTGTACATGGATCTCTCTTCTATACATTAATGAAATAGTATACTTTGCCTCTTCAAAAAAAAAAAAATAGTTTGGTTCATTTCCTGTCTACCTCTCCCAAGACTCTACATAGAGGGGATCACATCATTGGGTAATGGCCCTTTATGGTTGGGTGATCCCGGCCCAGCCCAACCCAGAATTGTCTTATAAATTGTATATTATTATATGTGTATATATACATAAATGCATATTATATATAGCATTTTATATTATATTAAGCATAATGTAAATTTTATATATATGGTTATATAATAGGCAAGTGCTAGTATGTGAAAAACACTACAGACTATATGCTGTGAAAATAAATTGTGACCACACAACCCCCCTTGTATTGGCATGCGGGCCACTTTATTACTCTGGTGGTCCCACTTGATGACCTCAGCTCCCATGAAATGTGAGGCTAGTATAACCCTATACAGTATGAAACATTACATAAAATATTTAAAATGTTTTTGAGGTTGTAGGTCCAAAAACCTGGCCCAGGCCCAGGGTATGGGATGGGCTGGGCCCGTTCTCAGGATACGCTCCTTATAATAGGTGCTAAGCCTAGCCTAGGCCCGGCCAATGATCACACCTACTTTATGTTTTTGTTCTTTTGTTGAGACAAGATTAATTATACAGTTCCCACTAAAAGAATGACAGGTTTATCTCTTTTTGTTCTTTCTTTCTTTGATAATAAATGAAAAACATTGCAATAAAAAGAAAATATACAAAAAAGGAGAGGAAAGACTTGACGGGGCAGCTATTACTATTGGTGTTGAAAGGAATAACAGGGTCTCCAAAGGGAGCTCAAGTATGAAAGAGATGGTTTTGGAAAGTATAATGGTTAAAGTGGTGCATTGGGTTAAGACCATGGATATGTTTACTACTTTTTCCACGGATGATTTTAAATGAGGATGGAATTGGATAGCAAGTTCATTGATGGCACGACCTAGTGCTCAAGAGCAATGGAGGCCACTGAGAACATCTTAGTTTAAATTGAAGTTTGATGGCTATAGCTTGGGAGGCCCTGGACTAGGGCTGCAAGTTGAGTTTCCCAATTTGAAGAATTTCAACTACATTGGGTCCAGGCCCATTGAAAATTTAACCAATTCCTAGCCCAATCTGGCCCAAGTTGTACCCCATAGACCATCAGGCATTGGAGGAGCTTACAGGGACGTAAGAGGAAGTGTCATTGTAATATGATGCCAGAAAGACATGATACTGGAAAGACTTGCAACCAGTCAACTGACATCATGAAAGTGGTAACCGATCAGGTGGCTTTTAATCATAACTCACAGGGAGTTTTGATTGGTCAAAGTCTTTCTGGTATCATTCTTCCAAGCATTATAGATTTTTCCGTGGGGAGAAGCATGTGTGTTCAAAATATTATTGGGGAAGGGGATTCAAAAGTAGCAATGGGATTGACGAGAATGAACAGCCAAGCTTTATGGCCGAATAGGCACACAATGAAGGAAGAAATAGCTATAAGAGGGAGGGGGGATATGGCAGAGTCTGCCAGCTATCTTTAAGGTGAATTTTTGTCTCTTCTTAAAGATATGGTTTTGAAGGTAAGATGGTGGTTCAAATTCTGCTGAGCTTCAATATTGATTTGTTTGTGATTCATCAGCAAGTCTGCTCAGCCCCTCGATGCACTTAGTTGTGTACTGTTTAATTTCTTGAATTTGTAGTTTCATTGCAATGATGACATTTTTACTTGTTTTGTTCATATATTTTGTTGCAGAATATTCTTTCTGTTGGATACTCAGATGACATTAAGATCATATTATAGTAGTGTTCGTTAGTGGCTTTTATAACTTGTTGCATTGTATATATACTGAAATAATTACCAGTGGTTAATTCATGCATATTTTCCATTTTATGTAGTCAACCGATCCTGCAGATAAAGATGCTTGGAAGGATAGAGGCATGGGCCAACTTTCCATAAAATGCAAAGAGGGTGCTGAAAAAGCTACTACAGACTCAAAACCAACGATTGTTGTTCGTAATGATGTATGTTCCTTCTCTGGACCACTGATACTTGCTGGTTTAAATCCTTGTTTACAAACTTGACATGCTTCTTGCCTGTCTGCTGGGGTGTTGAAGAGATTTAAGGTGGAAAGGTCAAAAACAGAAGGTTGTGTTTAGTTCTTTTTAGTTTTTAGAACAAGTGAGGATGGTTCAACTATGATACCAGAATAACTTATAACCAATCAACTGGTATCATAAAGTGGTTGATTGGATAGGCTTTCTGGTATCATGTCTTTCTGGCACTATAGATCTTTCCAAGTGAGAAATAGTGAGACGAGCCAAAGTTGGTGTGGGTGGATAGGGTGAGGGGTTTAGTGGATGGCCTTCCAAATTCTTTTAATGTTTATATTTCTGTTACATGATCACAGGTTGGAAAAGTGTTGCTCAACGCTTTGTTATATCCAGGCATCAAAACAAATTTACAGAAGAATTCTATTGTTGCAATATTCCATACTTCGGTAATACATCTTTGAGCTCTTGCAATATTTTTTTTTTGACAAGTACTTTGAGCTCTTGCAATATTAGATTTAATAGCTTTTGTCTGGGCCAGTGGAGGCTAATAGGTTTGTATAGCCATTCTCAAAATTATTGTCCTAAAAACAAACTTTGACACTACTGATAAAAACAGCAAGCTTTGACATTGCTGATAAAAAAAGAAGCAAACTTCGACATTGATAGCTTTTCACAAGGGTCATTTTTCCTCGTCTTTTACATAAATTAGTGTTTGATGCATTGGGGGTATGTGAAAGTTGTCTGATCCTCTAAAATTCCTTGAATAGTTTTATAATTTATACATCTTGTTTGCTTCTTTCACTTTTGATCTTCGCTGTGATAGGGTGATGCCGGTGGCAGCGATGGTGGCAAAAGTGATAGTGTGGTGGCACGCACGTACTTAATAAGGACGAAAACAGAGGAGGAGAGGAATAAGCTGGCAGCGGTAATTCAAGAATATGCTCCAACAGCTTGAAAATGTTTATATGGATTGTGGGCACGGCCAATACTCTTCATTTGTTCCTTTAACAAATGTAATGTTTGTAGTAATTGCTTGGCGAAGCCCCCCTGTTTATTTATTTCCAATTTTTCATATGTTAGCCTGGTAAAACTGAATATATATATGTATTTTGGGGCTCTGAGAAAAAGAAAGAATTCATGTCATCATATCTTGAGCAAATTACGAATGTTCGAGGCTTCCGTACTTGTAATATAATGAAGAGTACTGGAAATTAAACTATGTTCATTTACTAAATCCAGAAGAAAGAATTTATCCTGTTATTTTCTTATGGTTATATCGTAAGATTTTGCTGCAGCTTTTCTTTTTAATCGTTTCCTTCCTGTTTTATTCCTATTTTTCCCGTCGGAAATCTGCAATGGGTTTGGGTTTTTCTTCAGCGTTTCTACGCACGAGCGACCACATTGTCAAAAAAGAAAGGGTAAATGTTTAGGCTACGTTTGTTCGTGGTGTAAATCTAAATTTACACCGAGGATTATTACACCAATGGGTTCATGAGTGTAAAATGGGAACCAATGTTTGTCCCATTCAACACTTCTCTTTTGGTAAATCATCGAGGTAAAAGTCCATTGCTTTCTAACCGAAAGATTACTGTTTTTGCCGGTTGACCAAGAAATAGAGCACTGTGAGCGGCAGTGAACGCCGTATCAGACCCAGAAGCTGGTGACCGGGGGTTACAACAGGAGAGGCTCTCGTACGTAAGTGGCGGTGAGCGGAATATCAGATACTTATGGTTTCCCTGATTCACTTTTATGGAGTGCAATTTGTCTTTATATTCAAGCAAGAATCCCATTCAAAGCTTGAGCAGCTCTTCTTGTTCTGCTAGGAGCTGGAGCCTAAGTCGTGGCTTCCTTCTAACGGTGTTCCCGGGGAGAGAAAGAAGGGGAGACACAGAGAGACGGAGATAGAGATGAACTCAAGCTGTTCTGCAGGCTGTTTAGACGATGCCCAAGCCCCCATTAAAATGAGTTCCATGAAGCTCTATCAATGGCCACAAGCGGATGCAGAGTTTTTGAAACTTATTAGCATGAATGAGCAAAACTCTTCTTCTGGAAGACGAAGCGTCCATGATAGCTTTATAAGCAGGCAGAGATACCTCCAGAAGTTACACTTTCTGCAAGAATGAAACCGTTGCAGACAGAACGAAGAAGTGGCTTAAGGTGAAGGAAAAGATGAAGAGGAAAGAAAAAGACCACCGCTCAGCTAGTAGAGGAGAGAGACTGAGATATTCAGGTGAAAAGGAGCAAAACCTCAGAGGAGATGGGTACATGGCATGACCAATCGGTTCTTGTCCCGGCAACCACTGCTGTTGCCGACGGTCAACCACGGCAGAAGGGGCTACGCCCCGCCATCATCTTCCTCCGACGGTCAACCACTGCTGTTGCCGCCTCTCTGTTCTTGTCGGAGGAAGATAATGAACAGATAATCACTGCTGTCGCCGCCTCTCTGTTCTCGTCGATGGTCAACTTTGCCCCGGCAGATCGGTTCTTGTCCCGGCAACTACTGCTGTCGCTGACGGTCAACCACAGCAGAAGGGGCTACGCCCTGCCATCATCTTCCTCCAACGATCAATCACTGCTGTCACCGCCTCTCTGTTCTCGTCGGAGGAAGATGGTGAACAGATAACCTGTCTCGAAAGAACCTTGCCCCGGATGAAGGGGCGAGTTTTAACACTTTACCCTTTAACCGTTGGATAGACCGGTAAAGTTTTACATCGATTTTGGTGATGTAAAATTTTCATTGATTTTTGATAAATTTTCTAACAAGAACGAACCTTTACACTGATTGACGAGGTATATCAACACCTCTACCAAATGCATGCAAAATCAAACCAGGGTGTAAAGTTTATCCCGTTATCATTTACACCTCTACCAAACGCAGCCTTAAGTACAACTTCGGTATTTTTTTTAATGTGTTCTTCATACAAATCAAATCAAGTCCCTTGTTAACAATTTAACATATATGTCAATTTAAATACTACCTATGAATTAATTACCAACTATCACTAAATTATCCTTTCGGGTCGAACTTTGAAGTAGTGTCTATTGACTATTGCTATGATCCAAGTTATGCTCCAAATTTTGTTGTGTGCCAATGTTCTAGACTGGGGGGATATCGAAGTGCAGAGAGATAATATGGAAGTAAAGCTCCAGAAGGCTACTACTGTATGTGGTTCTCATTTTTTTTCTTCTCTCTATTACATCGAAACAAGATACATGTTGGAAAGAATGAAAGATTAAGCTTGTGTATGAAATTTGGAGTTTGCATCGGGACTAACTGGAACAAGATACACTGATTATAGCATTCAAATCGGCAAGGCATTCGGTTGGAAGACCGAGGAAGGAATTCATGAAAACATCATTTATAGGAACAACCGTTGCCACCCCAACTAACCTACACTTCCCTTCTCTATCCAGCTTTGTCCCTCTTCCCTTCCTCATCTTCCCATTCGATTCCTCTGATGTCAGCATGGTCTCCACCACCAGTGGAGGTGCTCTGTAGATCTTCCCAACGGAGAACCAGAATCTCGCCTTGAATTCAAGATCAACCTATAAAAACAACAAAGTTTTATCAGTTTCTTTTCCCGCCTCTGCCTCTGCCCACCAACTAGGTTAATCCGAGAAGCCTACCTTTCCAGTTTCTTCGTTGATGGTCCCTTGGAAGAGCTCTGGGACAATGTCAATCTTTAGAAATGGTGGCAATGGCAATCCCAGGAACTTTGTCGTCGAACTTGCCAGTGGTGGGATATAGAGTGTTTGCAGATCAAAAGATACAGAAATTTCATTCGGGAGGCCAGAGTCGCTCTTCAACCCAGTTCCTGTCCCGGTCCCTCCCTCTGCGTTGTATTCGAAGTCTGGATATCTGGAGATGCCAAGCTTGCAGCCCCTCAGTGTCTTGAACTTTACACTGTAATTCTCAGGCTTTGGCAACTTAGTTTGGGTGGTGGTGGTGGGGCTAGTTGTGACGGGTTCTTGTTGGTTTTGGTTGTGAGAAGAGAAAGTGGAGGTAACTGGGCGAATCCTTGGCCCTGGTTGGAGTGGATTGAATGAGGAGAATACGATGGCTGTTTTTGTGGAGAATTTGATGAGAGTTGTAGGGTTTGAATTAATCTTACACCCCATCTGCATAGTTTATTCTGAGTGTACGAAGGAAAGAGATCGGAGAGATTCTTTTTTTGCCTCTAAACAAGAATCACAATCACTTCAGCTTCCAAGTTCATGTGGAGGAATCCAGTCTTTCACCCACTTCGCGTTTTTAGATTTTATGAAACAGGTCTGTAGTGAAATGACTCATGAGGTCAAAGTTGTCTGGAAGATGGTTGGTTTGTGTTTATCATGTTATCCTCACCGCCACCGCATGGACCATTTTGTTCCTTCTCATCAAATTTGTAAGAAAATCTGCATGAGTTAATATATTTAGTAGGCATCAATGTATCAACAAGCGTTTGTAGTCCAACGGTTAGGATAATTGCCTTCCAAGCAATAGACCCGGGTTCGACTCCCGGCAAACGCAAACAATTTGAAAAGTAGATATTTCTTTTTTGGATTGGATTGGGTTGAAATGGAAAAGATATGATATCTGAAAATATTTTGACAAATCAACCGATATCATAAACGTGGTAGCCAATCAGGTATCGCTATCGGTCAAAACCCACTATCCGCCACTTCTATTCAAAAGGAATTTTCTGCCCTCAACTTACTTTTTGGATATATCTTATTTATTCTATAAAGATACCTCCCCTTTATTCACTGAGAATATATCTTTTTGAACACATCTGTATCAATCGATTAATCTCTGCATCTGATCAGTCAATTCCCAACAAGCTTGTTAAGAGTTTCCCACAAGCCAAGTTTTAGAATTCGGTAGTCATAATTTCATCTCTATTTTAACACTTGCGGTGACTGTAAATGCTACGAAATGCAACTAATATGACCAATTTGGATTGTGGTTGCAAATTTCAGATCACAGAATAAATAAACAAATAAACAAGTTAACACAAGCAATAGCACACTGCAACTGAGTGAGTGACTTAACCAAGAGTAATCCAACAATAAATATAGGTTACAAACGTTTGATAGACTTGTGTTAATTGGAAGATCTCTATATTAGGAGGAATGCTGGTAAATGAGTTCCATGAGCAACTCTTGCATTTATCACTCTAGACAGAGTGGAAAATATGAAAGCTTTGGGGTTAATAAATGGCACTGCAATCGTCCATGATCTCCTTTGATGGATCAACCATCTACTTGAGCTAAATGCTTAGTATTAGTTAGGCCCAACCGCCCAACAGACACAACATGGATGTCATTAGAGCTGACTCAGCTGAGAAAAAGTCGGTCCCAATATAAGTGAACGGTTTGCCATTTGTATTATGGTAACATACAAAATCATTTCCTCCTTGCTATTAAAGATATAACTCTACATGAATTGTTTCGGTGGTTTTTAAGTCATAGCGTGGTTACAATTTACGGGCGAGTGGACTCCTGAAATTCTTACTGCAAACCAATTTGTCATGTTAAAACTTAACAAGTTACGATTGTTTTGTTTTCCATTTTAGTTCTAGATCACAAAGCCATTAGAAGTCATTATTGTGGATTGATTTGGGGCTTTAACTCTAGCTTCAAGTTCTTACACTTTTTAAATGCCTCGATATCATGTTTCCCAACGCTTTTTTAGGTTGCATAATTCCAATATAAGCAGCAAACAGACTACAAAACATCTTACAGAACGCCTTCAATTGGATTACAGGGTTCAAGAAACCAATTCCAATTTGACATCCAATGGTTGAGAGAGAGAGAGATTTTCTATCAAACATGACATGAACACTAAAACTTGGAGCTTTCAAGCTCAAATGGATTTAATACACACGTGGTACAACCCCATTGGCCCAACTTGCTACTTGGCTATGCTAGCACCTAGCAGTAAGAACTAACAGCTACTCAGATTAGAAAAGCACCACCATTCATCACACAACCCCACTCAAAGCCTAGCTAGATCTGGCTCAAGCACCAGATTTCAGCCTTTTTTTTTTGGGTAAAGCCCATTCAGACTCGATTATATGGTAGACAGTTAAACACGTCACATATGCCAAATTTTTTAACTGGATACACCAACTTTGTTGTCCAAGTCCTGACCCGAGTCTGCTGTTCATTCTCTACAATCCACTGTTACAAGCATCAACATACAAGGGAGGACCTAAGAGATGGAGCAGTTGGGAGATGCGTGCATGATGCCCAGCGGATGACTGACTCGGTCACCATGAGATCAAGCTGTTCAAGCTCCCCAAGTCCAATCGTATGATTTCTCTTGCTATGGATGCCAAATACTCTAGATGTGGGTGTCACTCCACCTCTTCGCACATCAACTACCTTATTATGTGCTGTTTGTCCTCCCTCTTGCCCAAGGCAAACAGTAGAATCTGACAAAAGAATGAGCTCTCCAACACTCGTCTCTGTAAAAGCCACCAGGAGATCTGTTTAGATCACACTATTTACAGGAGGAAAAAAAGTTGAAGAAGGAAAAGATTGTTTACCACTCTGGACTGCCTGAACTCCAGAAACATTTGCCATGAAATCCAATGAGTTATTACTCCTTTGCTCAGTCACGGGACTTGGGCTAAAGAATGCAAAGCTTGGCATTGAGGGAACTGGGGAAGAGAATTCCAGACTACTTGATTCACAACAGCTGCTGAAAGAAAAACCACCAGATACCAAGCAAGGGGTGGTGGGGTCGACCAAGAAAGATGAGAATGATGATCTACATGTGAATGCAGGAGAATATCCTGGTTGGGTGTTGCCAGAAATAGGGGAACTAAAGCTGAAATCCATATTCCTAGCAATTAATGGGATAGAGAAAGAGCTGCTACCCAGGTCCAATTGCACACTGTCATGTTCATTTGGTTCTTCATTCACTTGCCAACAATCTTTTATCCAAGAGTGATCTGCAAGATGAGAATAACAGTATTGGAAACAAAAAAAAGGGTAAAGGCATCAAAGAACTTGAAAAGGTACTCTAAATGTCAGACAAACTAAATTTGGATGCTCTATCTTGACTAGATTGGAAGCAACTCGACCAACATGGACTTTGGGGTACCAATGTAGGAAGGAACTTAAGTCAATAACTTCAATTTTTATCACAAATAATTGACCTAACCAATGCCAAGAGGGTAATAATTTCTCCGGTAACTCGGTTACATGCTAAAACCAATTCTTCCACTCTTGTTCCAACACCATTGATCATTCAAACTCCTAAACATAGGGGTGATTACTCCATTTCATATCAGCAGAAAAAGAAAAAAGGGTCTACAATTATTTAGTATTGCATTCAAAAAGATAATACATCAAATCACACAAAAAATAAAGTCAGCACCTCAGCCATTCAAGGAGAAAGGAGAAATTTGAAGGATAAATCAGAACAAAAAACAAGCTGAATTTTGTGGTCTGGTGTTAAGTGACCATCACTGAACAACAGCTTCATCACTGCATAACTGTTTATAAACCCTTGACCTTGTGACTGAATGATTGCAAACATTTAGAGTAACAAGATAGCCATAGAAGTGCTACAGCATAATACCAAAATCTTCTTTATGCTTTATAAATTTCTTGGCTAGAGTGTTACGTTAGAAGGCTTTGCAAGATAGCTGCACCCAAATCTCCAGTTCAAAAAGAGAGCCCCCAGGTTAACAATTCACCCTCAAACTCAAATTAGGGGCCAAAATCTCATTATTACAACATCAATGACATATATTCCAGACCAACAAACTGTGAAACAGTCAACATACCTAGGACCTGTGCAGCAGTCAGCCTTTTTGCAGGATCTGTACAAAGCATTCCGGAGATCAAGTCCTTGGCGGATGCAGATATACGATCCCAAGGTTCAGATGGAAACCGTAGATCAGCTGCCCTAACAGCTTCAAAGATCCTTGATTTTGTCTTCCCCCAAAACGGTGGCATTCCACTTAGAAGAATATAAAGGATGACCCCTGCACTCCACACATCAGCAGCCTGGTTGTAGCCCCCTGTCAGTACCTCAGGAGCTATATAAAATGGGCTTCCTACAGTACCATGCAGACTCTGCCCTGTTCAATTAGAAAACTCAAATCATTATGATACAGAACAATATAACTTCTAAATTTTAATATAATAACAGTAAACAAATTTAACCAAAAACCAAGGAGTGTAAATCTTACCTGGTTCGATGTAGGTAGCAAGACCGAAATCTGCCAACTTAATTGGGGAGGAGGAGGCCCTTGTAGCCAAGAGAATGTTCTCTGGCTTTAGATCTCTATGAACAATGCCCTTGTCATGGCAATACATCACAACTTGCATCAAATGACTGAAAAGGGCTTGAGCCTCGGACTCAGAAAACCTCCCATGCTTCTCTAACCGGTGAAAAAGCTCTCCACCAGCACAAAGCTCCATAACTAAATGCACATAATCTTCCTCCTCATAAACTGCCTTGATATCCACAACATTTGGGTGCCCAGATAACCGAGTCATTATCTCAATCTCAAGCTTGACACTGCGAACATCATCCTGTGTGACCAATCTTTCCTTGGCAATGGACTTGCATGCCAATACCTCTCCAGTCAACTTATCTGAACATGTCCTGATGACACCAAACTGGCCCCATCCCAATTGTTCTCCCAAAACATATCGATCTTCCAAAGTTGAGGTTTGGTTTGTGTCCAAGATGGTCTCAGTCAAGCTTGCAACTTTATAACAGTTGCAGGATTGCGTTAATGTTGAGTTTCTGCTGCTCATGGCAACAGTTGTATCAAACTCTGAGAACCCTATCCGAAGAACCGGCCGAAAGCCCAATTCCTGTTCTGTTGCTATAAGTTACTCTTTTCCTCTCTCTTTTTTGTTGCTCAAGAGAACGGGGAAGCTAATTCTGTCCATCTCCCAAACGTGTACTCCAGGTCAGAAAAATTGAAAGGAGTTTCCCATAAGTAGTTGATGCTTGACAAAGATGCACATGGGGAGGAAGACGACCAACATGGACAGGAGATTCTAGAAGATAAAATATCTCAATAGCCAAAGCCCAAAACCCTAAAATAGCTGGACGCTTTTTTCAACCGGTGCATGGTGGTCACCTGCTCTTGGAATTTAAAGAAAATTTCCAATTTTCAGTTTTCTTTTTTTTCCCTCCAAATAACCAAATTATGAAAAATTGGAAGAAGAGAAAGAAATAACATTAGATCCCCATTTCAAAAACATTCCACACAAAGAAGGGCTTTCCTCTTATTTACTCCCCCCCCAAAAAAAATAAATAAATAAAACACAAAATTATTCGAAGTTCCAGAACAGCTTCATTTCCAAAATAGAATTAAAACTCAACAAACAGTTCCTAAGCAACCAAATATAACAAAACCATTGTAGAAAAATGCCACTGGAAACTCAAAATTCGAAGCCCTAATCATCCCACAACCGCATGGAATCACCAAAAAGAACCACAGGCACAATAAACCCTAGATCACCTCCAAATAACAAGAAAGCACTCATCGTCTACCTCTTCATAAAGAGAAAATAGAATGATCAGCAAAAAAATTCAAACATACCACTCCAGTAAACAATTGCAGCAGGTCCAATTACTATACAAGCTATTATAAGATCATGGAAAAAATACAAATTAAAAATCCGCATTTTCAAATGCCCATTGGAGAGAGAGGGAGAGGGAGAGAGAGAGAGAGAGAGAGAGAGGGAGAGGGAGAGAGAGAGAGAGAGAACTGACCCGGAGATAGGAAGAACTGAGAGAGGGAGAACCACTATAGAAGAGGTCTGCTGGAGCTCCGGCCAAGCCCGAGAGACCATCTATGGGTTCTCACAATTTCTGCGATGGTGCGAAAGCACTTTGCGTATATGGCCGTTTGTTGGAAGAATTCTCTCTTTCGAGTTTCAACTTTCGGACGCGAAAACCGAGTTTTCTTAATCAATTTTTTGTTTTTGTTTTTCTATTAAGGGGGTTTTTTAATTAAACTATTAAATTCTTTTTTTAAGCAGAAGGAGAAAAAGGAAACTTTGTTGGGAAGACAAATGTAGAAAACGCGGAACGGTCTGCTATTGGCCCTTTGCGGCGGAGTTCAACCGAGCTGAGGGACTTAAATTCAATTAACAAATACATTTTGTATTGTTTCGGAAATTTTGAAGGAATGTTACCTACGGGCTACGGGATTAACGAGTTTTTGAAAGAAGAGGAAGCCCTTGGGTATCGGGCCCAGCGGCCCAGCGGCCCAGGCCCTTGCTTGTGTGTGTAAGTGTAACTACCAAAAGAAAAGTGGGGGCCTTGGAACAATCACGATAAAGCACGTCATATCGATAGTCTGTGGTCCAAGAATCATGATGACGTGGTATGTCGTGATTGATACAGTATCCTGCGTTTTTAGAGTTTAAATCAGCCCCCACAAAATTGCCCCCAAAACGTATCACAGTACATTTCTATCGTATATTGAGAACATCTTCAAATGATGACATCTTCATTTCTAGAATTATCATCGGGAGATATTCCTAATACATACGATGGGGATGTGTTGTGGGATGTTGTGAGGGGCAATTTTGATCGGGGCTGATTTGGTCTCGTGTTTTTTCCAGTAGCGTTTAGGGTTCTGGGTGTGCTTAGTTGTACGTGTATGTGCATTTTAGCTGGCGTAGAAATTGGGCTCTGTACAGTAATAGACATGGCTGTCCTCCGATGCTCGTTGGATCAGTATCTTTTGCTCCATCCTTAAAATTGCGGCTTTGAGTACTCAATTCCACTTGCATTCACGCGAGATGGGATTCAGTCACTACAAGGCCCATTCAAACAACCATCATAGCCTTGCATTGGGAATATCTCCCTATGAAATAAAGCATAAAAGTATAGAGATGTTCCCGATGCAAGGCTAAAAAGGTTGTTCGAACAGTGTTTGAACAGGCCTTGCAATGATTGAAGCCGATCCCCATTCACGTAGGAAGGATTAGCTAACGCGATGGCTGTTCAGTAGACCTAATAATTAGTGTTGTTTATGGGTCGGGTTGGGTTGGTTTACTAGTTTTTTTTAATTGATTCGACTTGATCAGGTTACCTAAATATTAAATTGAAATCGACCCCCTATTAAGTAAAATCGACCTGATCAGTTTGGGTCGGTTTGGGTCAGTTTTGGTTTAAATATATACATTTCCGAACTATATATTTCAGCTTTAAATATATATATATATATATATATATATATATATTTCGGAAATATACATATTATATATAATATTTCAGAATATATTTTCTAGAAATATATTTAAAACTGAATGAGAATATATTTATTGGGAATACATTTAAAACTGAAATATATATTTAAATAATATACATATTATATATAATATTTCAGTAAGAATATATTTTTAGATAACTTGGTCCGGTTTCGATTTTCATGTGTGAAAACCGAAACCGAACTGAATTATTGGTTTACCCATCTTTTCAACCCGAAGCCGACCGATAGTGAAGAAAAACTAGCCAAATCGGGTTGGGTCGGGCCAGGTTGGTCGGTTTGAATTTATTTGTGAACATCCCTACTAACAATTTGGTTGGTTGGTTGGGTCAAGCACTTTGGGTTGATTTAGTTGAATTTTGGGTTAGGTTGGGAAATACTAGACTTAACCCTAAATGTTCAGGTTAGGTTGATTCCAATTTGGGCCATCCCAAAAAATAACTGAAAATTTAAAAAAATAAAGAAGATTCATGAAAGATGTCAATATTAAAGGATTAATCTTAAACTTTTAAAAATAAAACAAAAAATGTTGAACAATTCAAAGAGTAAGCAATAAAGAATAAAGACTAAATAATAAAGATTAAAGAGTAAAAACTTCTACCAATATATAAATAGTCCCAATTAGGCTTGACAATCAGGTCTGCAGGTTGATCCATGACCCAACTCAGTTTTTTCCGAGTTGGATCAGGTCGGGTCATTCTCAAATTCAGATAACAAAATATGAAACTCTAACTTTTTTTCTTTGGATTGGGTCAACTTTTTGCCAAAAGTGAGCTATGGAACCAATGATAATGTTCCACAATAATGTGGGGTTCATGAATTTATTACTAACGTGGAACATTATCATTGGCTCCATAGCTTGCTAAATAGCCAACACATATCAGTTAATACGAATTTGTTGTATAGTCACATGGAGAAAAAAATACATATATAAATATCTATACCACTTTAAAAGCATGAATAACCTCAAGGATATTTCTAGAATTTTTTGAGAGCAAAAGTTACCCCTTCATATTTAAATTTATTGATAAAAACTGAGGGGCAAATAGGGTAATCAATTATTAATATTAAATGAGTTGAAAAGAGGTAAATTTAAGGTATTCAATGCATTCAATTCACTCTCATTAAATGCAACATTTAGGATATTAGCTTGCATTCACCTTCATTAAATCATCTATTTAAAGCATTTTTGTTTCTTCTCATCATTAATTTCTATTAATTAAATCCATGCATAATAAATTAATAATTCTAATACAATAAAAACTTATACTTTTAAAAGCTACCTAAAAAATTAGTTTTTTCATCTAGGTGGTGGTAATAAATTAAACCATTTCGGGCTAATTCATGTTGCCACAATTAAATAATAAAATTCAAATATATATATATATATATATATATATATATATATATATATAAATTAATAAAAAACTGAGAACATTTTTAACATTATATATTTGACATATTAAACAATAACAAGTATGATAAATAAGAGATGTTTTTATTAATGATGGAAATTGAATATAAAACTTAAAACCAATTGAAAATATAATTATTTTTCTATTCTCTCTCAATAAATCTCATATCTAAGGTATATTCTCTCATTAACTTGTATATTTAAGATATAGTTTTCTCATTACTAAATTCTATTAATTAAATCCACAATATTGATTTTAATAGTATAAAAATAAATATTTTAAAAAATAATTTATAAACAAAACCATTTTCTTCCTTCTTGGCGGTGGGTAAGCAATTCAACCATTTGGGGTCAAATGGGTTAATAAAGAATGCCAAATTAAATAATAAAAAGAAAAAAATTAAATATATAATACAAAAAGATAGAATTGGGCATATGTCTAATATTGTAATATTGTATATTTACTATAAAAAACAAAGATAAATATGAAATGTAGATGATGAAAATGAAATGTCAAACTTAAAATCAACCTAGAAATGAAGTGCTATCATAGTCAAATAATAAAAATATAAAAAATAGAAAAATCACACAAATAAAAAATAGAGAAAATTTTGGGCAAATATCTAATGTTATATATTTATAAAAGATAAAATATTGGGTACTTCTCTAATATTATACATTCATTATGTTGAACATAAATAATTATTATACATAAGAAATAATTTTATCAATGATGAAAATGTAAGACCTAAAAATCAAACTATTTTTCTTTTTGGATAGTGGGTTAGTGGTTTCGGTCAAATGGATTAATTGATGACATGATAGTTAAATAATAAATCTTTAAAATGTAATAAAAAAGTACAAATAATAAAAAGATATATAAAAATTTATATATTAATTATATCAAACAAAAATTATTTGTGATAAGTAAGAAATATTTATATAATGTAGATGAAATATATAATTTAAAACTAAATCGAAGCAAAGCCATTTTCTTATCTAAATGGTCAATAAATGATCTAACTTTTTAGAGAATGTCATAATTGAATAATAAATATTTAAAAAATATAACACAAAAAAATGAAAAAATACAGCATTTTGCCGAAAACATTTGGAAACATTTCTAATGCTATATATTCATCATGTTAAATAAAAAATGTTAAAATAAAAATTATTTTTACTTATGACTGAAATTGAATACAAATGATAATAATAATAATAATTATTATTATAATTTAAAATTTCCATGTAGAATACACATGCACATTTACTACGGGCATTCAAATTTATTTTTAATCATATTATTATTTTTATTAATTTTTAATTTTTATCTAAATTATAATATATCTAAAATTCAAGTAATTAATATGAAAAAAATTTTCTCACATACAATGTATGTGCTTAATTATTAATAATCCTAAATTCTCTTATTCTATGATAGTGACCCTCTTAAATTTTTTTTGTTTTATTAAAAATCATAAAATATTAGACTTAAAGCCCATTTGTGACACACTCTCTCTACATATTTCCACGAGGGCTGACTTTGTTTGTTCCGACTTATTCATTTCTACCAACCCACATTTTTTCCACAAACAACACCAACTGACTTTATATCTGCATGACATGAAAATATGTGAGTTTCAAAGTAAAATATTGATTTACTGTTTTACTTAGTTTGTAATTTTCCCTCGCTCGTTCTCGTTATCCATGAAAATGACAGATGTCTAGCGTTTGGACTTTGGATTGCTGATCAGTGATCACAACCATCATTGTCATTGCAAATCTATAATAATTTAAAATGTATTAACATCAATTTACCTACTCCAATTGTAATTGGAGCTAAGAATTCTGACGATAAACTGAATAATCATTCCCCCAAATTAAAATTTTAAATTAAAAAAAAATCATTTTCTAAATTGATTAATTGTTTATCAACCAAACACCACCAGCTACGAGAAATCTACTTTATGAGACATCGTCGTCGCCCACCAAACGACTTTCAGCCCTGAACAGAAATTCTACTCCAAACATATCCAGGTACGAAAAGGACTTGCCTCTTTCTCTAACTAATTAACCAATTCTATTAATTTGCACGCCAAAAGCTGCAAATAGCATATCGAACTGTTAACTATGTTCTTTGACGTTGACGAGGACTTGATATTGCAATTAAATTCTCGGAGGGACTATGGCAGACTAATTATATAAAGTTAAGATCTGCTACCAACAGGACGCTCTTACATGTCCCAACAGATCAT